GGTATTATAAATTCAGTTATAGGCACGATATTTCTGAGTGGATTATATGAATAGAAATGTCCAGAATAGAAATGGAGGAGGCATAGGAGGGAAATGCGTGAGGAAACATAATGTCACATGGAAGTTCAGAACACCAAGACTCAGTGTCTTTCAAATTTTTTGGACGATGATCCACAAAATGGTTTAGAGCTGTGCTTCCCAAACTTTAAGGTTCCCAATAACCTAGGAATCTTGTTTAAAATGTAGCCGTAGCCAGTTTTGCTCAGTGGATAGAGCATGGGCCGGGTTTGATTCTGGTCAAGGACATGTACCTCGGTTATAGGCTCCTCGATGGCCCGGGGCACATCCAATGAATGTGTTTCTCTCACATTGATATTTTTCTCTATCTTTCCCCCTCTCTCCCACTCTCTCTAAAAATCAATGGAAAACTATCCTCGGGTGAAGTTAAAAAAAAAAGAAGTAGATTTTTCCTAACCAATGTGGCTTGGTGGTTGAGCATTGACTTATGGTTCAATTCCTGGTCTGGAAACATGCCTGGGTAGCAGGATTGGTCCCAGTGGGGGGTGTGCAGGAGGCAGCTGATCAATGATTCTCTGTCATCAGTAATGTTTCTATCTCTCTCTTCCAATACTTTCCTCTCTGAAATCAATAAAAATATTTTTTAAAAATGTAGATCTTCAGTAGGGTTGGGGTGGGCCTTGGATTTTAAATTCTAACAAGTTCCCAGGCACTGCTGGCCTGCAGATCGCACTTTGAGTAGTGAGGGCTTAGAGTGGGAGCTCTGTGGTCACACTACTTGTGTCTGAATCTCAGTTCCATTATTTACTAGTTTTGTAATATTTCCTTTCATGTTCCCCCACGGCATTTATAAAAGTGATAGCATTAAAGAATTTTTATAGAAAATACTCAATGCATATTACCTCTTAATATTATAGAAAACTATTAAAAGCATATAATGTAGCCCATTAGAAAGATATTTATAGAATTAACTTATGTAGCATAAACACTAACGAAAGTTCATCATTCTCTGCCAAGTAGTCACTAGAACATCACCGTTCATTGAAGGACATTAAATATATGTCAGATTAACTACCCAGCTTATTAAATGCATAAATCTGAAAGTGCTCTAAATGAATTTGTAAGAGCCTATAATATTTAGTTTCTCTGTCAGAAAAATTTTTAATATTACAGTATACACTGAGTTACAATTCATTTATTTGATAGCTTCCTCTGAATTTAGAGTTTCCTCTGAATTTTTGTTTAAAAATTTCGTTTTTATCAAATAGAAATCAGAACTTGTATTAGTATGAACAATAATAATGATTTGTTCAAACAAGGGCACTAGTACAGTTTTAATGAGAACTTAGCCCAAACCTTTATACACAAGTGTATACATTTTTCAAACCACTATACAATGCAGCATGATTACCTCTTTATTTTGTTTGTTTGTTTTTGTTTCTTTCCTCTAGTTACATTGTTGAGGACTGGGGCTTACAAAAAATATTACTTGTTAGAATTGTGATGACTTAATAATGATGTGATATGGGAGGATTCGATGGGTAGGAAAAGTAAAGTTAGGACCAGAAATGAAGAGAAAATTCCACATCATCATCCCAAATGAAAATGATTAGAAATTTCTCAAATTCAACACTGTACATATCTTATCTAATAAAAGAGAAACATGGTAATTAACCGTAGGTCCGCTACCGTTCCCATTGGCTAATCAGGGCGATATGCAAATTAACTGACAGCCAAGATGGCAGCTGGCAGCCAGGCAGCTTGAAGGGAACATGAGGCTTGCTTGCTTCAGTGACGGAGGACTCCAACTTTCCCCACCTGCCGCTGCAGGCCTCTGAGCTGCAACTCTAAGCAACTAATAGCAAATACCGCCGGGACTTCAGCCAGCAGTATTGCAACATTGTAAGCAAAGGCCAGCAGCGGAGGCCTAAGAGCTGGAGCCAAGCCTCAAAGCTAAAGCTGTCCCAGAATAAAAAAAAAAGAAGAAAAAAAGAAGAAGTTGGGAGCTTCAGTCGCCTGCCAGCCTGAAAATGGCCCTCAGCCCCTCACCCAGACTGGCTAGGCACCCCAGTGAGGACCCCCACCCTGAAAGGTGTGTGACCAGCTGCAAACAGCCATCATCCCCTCACTGAGACTGGCCAGGCACCTCAGTGGGGACCCCCACCCTGAAGGATGTGTGACCAGCTGCAAATAGCCATCAGCCTGTCATCCAGGCTGGCCAGGCACCCCAGTGGGGACCCTGACCCTAAAGGGGGTGTGACCAGCTGCAG